TAAAATGAATTTATCACAATTATAGTTAATTGTAAAACATCAGCAATCTCGGAGTATTCGATAGCTAATACAATAAACAACTACGGTTAAACTAGTAGCTACCACAACACAATGTCATCATCATCAGCCCCTTTACGTCCCCACTGCAGGAGCTCAGGCCTTCCTTATGGATGGTTAAGGAGGATGGGCCACGACCCTCTACGCTGGCCCAATGCGGATTGGAGGGTATTAAGGACTGCAAATGCAGCCGGGACCAACGGCTTAACGTGCCTTCCGAAGCACGAAGTAGCTCGAGATATAATTTTTTGGTCACCCATCCCGTGACCGACCCTTGCGAAAGTGGCTTAACGACAACGATCGCGGACCGCGGCACTTATCCACTACGCAACACAATGCTTTAATCAAAAATATTTTTTTAAGTTTTCATCGTACTGTCTCGATATATATAAGTCGATGTTTATGTAGGTATGCCCAATGGGTATGCTATCTAGTCCTGCTATGATGTTGGTATTTTAAAATTACCCTGTATAGGTATTGAAGTGCTGCACTATTATATTATGTATTAATCAATTCGTCTTTCTCTAAAATGTGTCGCACCGGTTTTCTAACTATAAATAAATATTTATATAAGCCATTGTATAATTCAATAAACTAATCTTAGCAAGTATCATTTGCTTCAGTCATAAAATGTGTTCTACTCGTAAATGCTTAATGTAAAACCAAGTATTGCCTGTTTTTGCTTTTCCTTAGTATTCTGTTAAGTTTACTATGCGTTTTATACTGACAATAAGCTAACACCTACCTATAAAAGTCTGAGATCTAATAAAGTATCAATTTACTCAATTGCAAATACATCTTTATCTCAGAATCGATAGGAAAATGAAGCTGACTGGGCACAGGAGATACGTCTTATTTAAGTTTGATACACAATAGACGCAACAGACTATCATATTCACATAAGCATAATAATAATTGGCATTACATGTACAAAGTGAAAATTTCACAAAAATTAATTATGTTCTATGATGTTAAAAACGTAAGAGTAGGGTAAGCGATGAAGCGTATAGCCAGAAGACTGTCTCTGTCTACATCATTGCGCCCGGCAGACGGCACGTCTCAAACTCGTAGTCCGCCATATTGGATTTATGTCGAAATAAAATTATATATCGTAAATCACTGATATTTGTTTCCTACTTAACATTGCTCAAAGATAGATAGTTCGGATCTCTTGAGCAAAATTCACATTGAAATCCCAAACATAAAACTTCGTTAGAAAAATATTTTTCTTCGCACTGCCTTTGCACGTACGAAGAAGTAGCAGCATATGAATTAGAATTAGTAATTTGTTTAACGAACTAAATACAAAGTTGAATGACGATAGTCGATTCAACCTTTTCAATAATTAAATACATACGACAAGACATATTAATAATGTATTAATTTCCTACTGAAATTATCGATAATTAGCTTACGTGTACATGTCTTAGCTTACGTGGATTCTTACCTATATACACATATTATGAGCTATAAAATAATTTTACTAATACCTATAATTTTAATTTCAACAGATTGTTTTAATATATGTGGTGGCTTGTTTTTAAGATGTAACCATATGTCTTCTATATATTCATCAAAGTTTTTTACTTTATTGCACTGGATTATTGACTGCAATGAGCTACAATCTGTTGGAATCCTTATATTGATGAATTGTTAAGTAGACTGAGTTCTAAACTATACTCTTGAAATATATTTAAACGGCAAAATTGGTGTATGTTAGTAATATCCATAGCGTAATGATTTATGACCTATATTCATGGGGTCCTGCAACACATACCTACGTTATTTATATTACTTCGAAAGAGAGCAATCCGCACCATTTACCTTCCTACAAATGAGTAGAGGATCTCTTAAATAAATATTGGAATAATATCTTTCCTCTCATCGTCTAAAATATTATAAATAAAAATATTATACACATATGAAAATTATTTCAATGAGCTTTGAATATAGAATATTTTCATTTCGCTTCAGTATAAGTAAATAGTTTAAATTTCTTACGAAATCTTTTAGTATAACCAGGACTATTTAAGCATTTTAACTCTACTCTGCTCTACTTTTATGCTGTCTTATTATAATTCGAGGAACAAAGTTAATATTTAGTCTAGACTAACCTTACATTTTTCGCCTAAAGCAAATTGACAATAATAGAAAAGTTAATGTCAATTTGAGACATGTTGACTTATTTTGGTTGGATAATGGTTTCAAACTGGTACTAAAGTTAGTCCTAGTTTTATAATAAGACTGATAAATTTAACAAAATAAATAGCCTCGATTTTACTCCGAGATGACCGTTATATCTACTAGACGCATCTGATTTATCGATGTTATTGAGGACAGTAGATAATGGACAGACTTACTGCTCTATCACCCGGGTGATAATGATTGAAATCGATAGCTGGACACATTGTATGAATCCATATATAACGATTAGACTCACATCTAATGTAGACGACCTCTTAATGCAAGTGGTTAACGCGGGTTTCAAGGTGACCTCATCACTACAGTATTAGGTTCGATATCCGGTTGATACAAGGGCTTTCAATGTAAGTGCGTAGCCTTTCATTGTTTAGATATTGGGGGTCAGCAGTTTCAGGACAAACCAGTCCATTCCAAGCTGGTTTAATTTGGATTTCTAATGAGATTCGGTGGGAAAGGTTTCATTCCATTATTTCTAATTCAATAGTATAGAGATTCAATCAAATAGATCCTACTTTAAAAGGTAATTATGAAAACTCAACGTTATCACAGAGGTCGAGTTCAATTCTTTTTAATAACATAGCTGCTTATTATTGTTGATTTCACCAAATTCCAATCTAATTTGTCATTATATAGAGTAGCCAAAATGCACAATTTCAAAGATCCACTAAGAATTAAACTAGATTAATTAATTCTTAATGAAAAATGATTAATAAATCCACTTGTCCCTGGTACTCCCATCTCAGACTACTCTATATAATGACAAGTTAGATTGGAATTTGGTGAAATAAATATAAAAGCTGCTATAGTTTCATTAACAATATTTTCCAGAATAGTATCGTGAATATAAAATTAATCAAATATAATAGGTTAATAAATTTTAAAAGAGTGTACCGTTTGTAGAAATTTGATATTTTGTGGTAGCCAAACTGTTACTGGCCAAAATTTACGCGGATATGGTAAAAAGAATACAGCTAGTTACGTATAAGTAGAAAATGTAAACTTATTTTTCTAACAAATCTTTTTTAATTGAAAATTTACTCTCTTTTCGATGTTTATGTTCTTAACTAACTCGCTTAAAATCATTATGATTGTACTTTCCTCTTCAATAATTATGGCAGATATAAGTAACAATTTCATTACCTTTTCGGTACTACGTACCTATTTCAAGATTCATTAATTAGGTTATTTACAATTCAGTCATTTCATAGTACCCTTTTCCCAAAATGAAAGATTTCACAAACATCAATAAATTTGCAATTACTTTTAACAATATCACTAAATAAAACCATTTCCTGGTCTCAGTTTCCATCTTATCATACGCCTTACAAAAGAAAAGTACGTAAGTAATATTTAGGGTTGACACTTAAATTTATCGTTTAAACTCTAAATAAATTAGTTCCTCAAGTCTTTACAATAAGGTTGGTAGTCTCAGTCTGATCATGAATAATTCTTGTTGGCTTAGTTGTTTCCCGAGGCTGGCTCCTTAAAATATTTATGTATTACCGGTAAAAATTTACCACAATTTAGGTACTTTGTCTCTCCCCTCCTTTGAACATTTTGGTATAGTAGATAATTACTGTGAAAAACGTTATACCCTGTCTTTAAAGTTAATTGTATAAATAATTTTGGATCCTAAATATTATATTTTACTTTTAACTGATGAACAAACGTCCACTAAATTTTACAATTTTACATTGCTACTTATAAACAAGGTTTAGCGTCAAAGTAAATTTACGCTAAAATTGCAATTTTAGTATTAATCCATATTCATATTACACAGGGAATAAGCAAATCTACTACCTTCTAGGAGCAAATATTACTCCCGTAGAACCTCGTACTAGGTTAACCTTTGTTAAGTCTCTTATAAAATATGAATTTTGACTAATACGAAGAGCAGTCTCAGCATAAATTTATATACGGTCAATTGAACAAACTTTAAGGTTTAATGACGACTATGTAATCTTTGATGAACGTTCTAAATTTGAAATTATGTATCGGTAATGATACATAATTTCATTACCTATACATATTTTCAAATTTAGAATATTCACTGGTTTAAAGTCTTCCCTAAATTTTAATGGACGTTTCTACAACTTAGGTGGTCCATTGAAAACTACTGAAAGGTTTAATAACCACTCAGTCGTGCTATTCTATTTAAAATACGGCCCTGTCACAACATCAAATAATATACTCCCATAAATTATTAGTATAATTTTAAAATATTTAAGTTCTAAACAAATTATATTTATTTATTTTACAACTGCAGGAGCGTGTATCTCAACTATCGCTCCAGCAGAGGTTAATGCGCTCAGGACCGCGTTCGAGCTACCGCGTAAACACATTACCGTACTATGCTTTGTAGACCGTCATTAAAGCACTGCAATACCGTGACTGCCTGATGCTCCAGCAGCTGTAAACTCGATGCGTGAAGGACTCAAGAATCAAACGTATAAAACATTTGACAGTGTGTTCTAAATAGAGTTACGTGACTACAACGTGAGAATCACAGAACCAAGATATTACCACGCACACACAACGCCCTGCATTCTCTTTCTAAACTTTACAAGTTACAATGGAGAACCAGCAAGTACGACTGTTTGTATTGAATTATAATACTTATTTATTAAATATGTAATATCACAGTATACTGTATTAATGTGTAGTCATATATTATTTTTAATGAATATAGAATAGGATTTTCACTGACTCACTTATAATTTTTGGAATAAAAATACGAATTATATTCAAGTCAACATTTTATTGTATTGGTATTATTTTCATTACTATAAAACTTCAAAAATATTAATAAAACTTGATTCTTAAAGCACATACAGAACAGTTTGTGTATTTAAAAATTCATCTGCTTAAATGAATTTATTTCTAATTCTCATGGTCGGAGTGTTTCATTAACGATCCTATTTATTTTGATGACTAACCGATTCAACTGAACGTGGTACTTAAATACGTTGAGTGAGAGAATACTTAGAGTGACATCTGAAAAATGGCATGAATTTAAAGCACTTCCAAATGTGCTGTCGTTAGAAACAAAGAATTCGCGGAGGCAGATAAAGATATCTGAGGAACTCTATTTACATAGCTATTGCTCGCGTGAAATCGAGATGTCATTGTAATCTATTAGCTATTTGTTTTGACAAAACTTTAACCGAAAAATGTTATCAAACAATATGTTACAATTAATACATGTGGAAGACAGTCTAAAGCTAGAGATACGCGCCTAGTATATCCACTCTCCTATCTCACTCGTTATTTCAGAAATATGTAATTTTGTAATTCCAATTTCAACTTGCTATATGTTATCCTATGCCATTTTATAATTAAACCACATCCACAAATACGTCCCAAGTGTAGTTAAAATAAACAGGGTTTGCTCTAGGTTGTCTTATAGTCGGAACTCTTGGTATTACTCTTTTCTTTTCAATGTTCAAAACTTTGAGCATTTTATTTACAAGTTCGGGATATTCTTTAGACAGATCTGTAGTTTCACATGGATCTTTTTTAATATTATATAAACAGACTGTTCCTGCAAAAAAAATAAATAAAATCAGCAATTGGATAATAAGAGAGAAATAGTTTAGTTGTTACAAAACTTACCGTTGCCAGGATAACATATAACATCATCTGCTTTAATTTGTTTCTGGCATTCAATTTTTAATGCATTTCTTACACTACTGATATCAATTGGCACAGATCTGCCCATTTTTGTAAAAACCTTGTAGGCTTTACTATTTTTAATCGCATCGATATAGCATGGAGGGTTTCCAATGACTCCCAATAATTCTTTGCCTTGATAGTTGCTATATTCATTAAACACTGTGCCAGTTATCAATTTGTAATTTTTAGAGATAATTGATGCATAACCTTGCATATCGTCTATGTCTACAATTTCACTTCTACTGGAAACTTTGTTTTTCATTATTTTATTCCATAAATCATGACCATCTATATTTTTCGGAGGATCTCTTCCAGCCGCTTTAAGTAAGGTAGGCAGCCAATCTGTTACGTGAACATACCCTTCATACAAATGACTCGCCACATTTTCAGGTGCCCAAATTGCTCCATTTACTCTTACTCCTCCTTCATAAGGACTTAATTTAATACCTCGTAAAGGATAATTACTACCATAGTTAACAGTCACTCCTGATGTCATACCACCATTGTCGGATATGAAAACGATAATAGTGTTATTCAAAATGCCTTTTCTTGACAATGCCTCTACGACGTCGCCAACACTGTCGTCGAGTTTCTTTACCATAGCTAAAATAGTAAGCTTTTCTTAATTGTGTGAAATATTCTATATATTTTAAACTAGCTTTACGCCAGTGGCTTTACCCGCGCGGTCCCTAGGAAACTGTTTATTTGGATATCGACTTATACCATGACACGGATATCATTATAATACCAAATTCAACAGTAAACAGTGGTTACTATGGTAACGTTTTTAATTCTCTATAGAAACTTCCATTTCTATTTAATTTTTTATTTGCTATAATTTAATGTACAATATCATGAGTTAGTTACCTGCAAAAATTCTTCTTTCTGGTGATTCTACATGTCTCATAGATCTAACTACTTCAGGAGGCGCTTGAAGTAATGCGCCTTCATTGGCACTGTGTGGAGCGAGATGTGCCAACATTAGGAAAAGTGGTTTAGTTTCATCATGGGAATTAATGACTGTAATAAAAACCAATATTTCTTTATGCTTCAAGAACATGTAAGTAAGTACTTGTATATTTAATAAAATCAAGCATTATATTGCGCATATCCATTGCTTTAACCGTGAAACTATGAAATCTAGCAATTTGGATGTTTCTCAGTTATGTACTTGTATTTAAAATATACTACATATTTAAGTTGTATTTACTCCTGATCAATAAGATCATCGTACCAGCCCATAACAGTCCTCTACAGGACGAAGGAAATCATTAAAAACCATACTACCAGCCCATAATAGTCCACTACAGGACTAAAGACCTCCTCCACGTTAGTGAAGAGTTTTGTCATAATATCCACGCTCGGCAAAAATATGATTTAACAAAGAGCGCTGCTACTCATTCTCTGCTTGGAGTGTAATCCCTTTCTCGGCTTTTACGACACTCGTGGAAAAAGTAGGGGTGGTGACAGTTGAACTCTCTTCTGCCGTCACCACAACGCAAAATTATAAGAAACAAATAATAATAATTCTCCTTAACTATCCATAAGGAAGGACTGAGCCCCCGCAGTGGGGACGTAACAGGGCTAATAATGAATAATAATTACTTGAAATAGCCTCGTTGTTATACAAGTCCGTTGCGTATCCTTCAGCATCCCACGCCGCTGTTTGGTTTCTGAACATATTCATCCCGGAGACTTTGCCAATTGTCCACTGAATAGTTAAAATATTTTTAAATAACTACCCATCAACAACATAGCACCAGCACGCGTAGCAACAACGTTTTGTCTACACCCAAATGTCACTTTCTCGGGTGCGCCCATACGATATCTCATTCTTGACCCGAGAATGTGACATTTGGGTGTAGACATAGCGTTTCTCAAGTTTGTCATGCTACGCGTGCTGCTGTATAATAATAAGTTACTTAAGAACTAAGGTTATGAGTGAAAAAATACGAAACTCAAATTGACAACGATATAAAAGTCTCGAAAGAAGTGAGAATCCTAGTAGAAATGCACAATACATATGAATTTGAGCAGAATATAAAAGATATGAGCTCTTGTTATTATATTGTTTTCCACACATAATTATTAATCAAAACATAAAACAAGCGATGATTTCTTTATGAGCTCATCTAATGAACAGTAGGTTTGCGTCGATAAAATTTTAAAATATGGTCTAACGGCTGGTTTCTGAATTGAGAAAAGTACACAGTCTTTACTAATATTCTCAATAACTTAAGTTTTTTACGTTTCACTAGTCAAATAGTCGTAGTTTTATCAAATTGCTCATTAAAAAAAACTAAAATAAAAACGAAAACCAGTTTAAGTACAGTTTGAGACGTGCTTATCTTCAAATACTCAATTTAGAAACCGGGTGTAAATTTTATTTGCTTATTATACTTATGAATCTCATTGATCAGTATTCAGTTTGTGTAGTAAAACAAAACGTTACAAAATAAATAAAAACTAAAGAATTATCCATGAAATCTGTGTTAGATTAGAGGAAAGAGGACTGAAAGTGCCGATTTTGGAAAATCCTTACATCAAATAGATAAAACAAGCACCATGTCAAGAAGTTGTGGTTTTTAATATGAGAAGATTAGTGTGCAATATGAATTTATTTAGAGATTTTGTGCATCTTTGATATTATTAAGAAGATATGAGTTTTTAAACAGCGACAGAACAAAACAATACCCCACATCATGGTAAGTTGTGATGTAGCTGAGATGAGTTTTGCCGTCAATAAATGAACGGTTTTACTTCAATCAAAATTCATTTAGGATTCGAAAAACATGTAGTAAAATTACTCTGGATTGCACGTAAGTGCAGCTATTTCTCTGTTATGTGTTTTGTTAGTTCTATAAGAAATTGATCTAGAGAGGCTCTACTGCATAACGAAAATCCTAACTAATCAGTCAAAAAATAAAACCGTGGATAATCTGTTCGTCCCACAGATTAACAGCCTGGCAACGCAAATGGACACCGCGTGAGCTGAACTGTTCGATATTACGCTAAGCAATATAATGTTATATCATTCTACTACTGTTTACAAAATATTTGCATCGGCATTTTCAGTATACTCTTCCCTACAGTAACAAATTATTAACACAAAAAGAAATTGTTATATGAAATATATAAATCACATGTATATGTTACACATAAGCGCCATGGGCCGCGATCGTTGTCGTTAAGCAACTTTCGCAAGGGTCGGTCACGGCATGGGTGACCAAAAAATTATTATCTCGAGCTACTCCGTGCTTCGGAAGGCACGTTAAGCCGTTGGTCCCAACTGCATTTTCAATAATTAGTTACAGTCCTCCAATGCGCATTGAGCCAGCGTGGAGGGTCATGGCCCATCCTCCTTAACCATCTGTGTGTTATAATCTATGGTTAAGTAGTGTCGATATACTCTGTGACACAGGACATGCAAGAGCCATACTTTGATTATTGTGAGATACAAGTAAAAATAAAAATGTAATCATATCAAGATAATCTATCATTTATTCAACCTTAACACATGGCGCAGCTATAATTTACGCAATGGCCACTGGATATTTGGTACCTTGAAAATTGTGCTTGTCAGGTAATATTAGTGAAAACTGGAAAAGATTTAAGCAACAATTTCTGGTGTATATTGAAGCATGTGGCTTACAGGATGCCTCTGAACCACACAAAATTGCTATACTTTTGAACGTTATAGGTGAAGAAGCCTTAGATTTATATAATACATTTGAGCAGAAGGAAAAATCATTGAATTTAGTTCTAAAAACTTTTGATGAATACTGCAATCCAAAAAATAATATACTGCATTCACGATTTCTATTTTACAACCGAAACCAAAAAGAAGGTGAACAAGTTGATAACTACGTTACTGATTTGAAGTTACTGGCAGGCAATTGCAATTTCTGTAAAAAATACAAAGATTCGATGGTTCGGGATAAACTTATTTTAGGCACGAGTGACAAAGATTGTCATAAGAAAATGATAAAGAAAGGAGATCCCACACTGGAAGACACTATTAAGGCTTTGAGAATATCTGAATTGACGACCGAGCAAGTAAACGAAATTCAAAAATGTGAAATAAATGCTATAAACAAAAACACTGCATCTTCTAAAATCATTGAGTGCACAAGTTGTGGATATAAACATAGATATGGCAATTGTCCTGCTTATAATAAAACTTGTACTAAATGTAATAAAAGAAATCATTTTGCTAAGATGTGTCGTTCAACTTACAAAGCACAGGTAAATTCAAGAAAAGTCATTAAAATCCTTACCTTTGAAAAGAATCTCTGCAATGTTAGAAAGCTGGAATGGTTTTAAGACTCCCATCGAAGGCCTGGCTTCCCTAAGTGTGAATGTGAACAATAAAAAGTGCTGTGAAAGTTTTTGTGTGGCAGGTAATGAATATTCAGTTCCAATTTTGGTATATGTACTGCCGAAGCAAGTACGCCTGGAAGTAAGGAAGGCCTGAGCCCCTACAGTGGGGACGTGAAAGGGCTGATGATGATGATGATATTTTACACACAGTGGGAAACTACAGCAGTAATACTATTAAACTCACATTCTCTTCGTAAGTGTATTCGTAGTAATCTATACTTCCTAGCCTGTGTCCAAAATGTGAATCAAAGCCCCTTTTTGTTGGCAGATACTCTTCTCTAGAACTACCAACATGCCATTTGCCTACTAAATGTGTAGCATAGCCAAGCTCTTTCAAATATTGCGGTAATATTTTATGTGTGACGGGAAGACCTCTATCCTCACCGCCAGTCAATGGCCAGCCTTGCATACCTGTTGAACACAGAGAGTTTAAATAAGAAAAGATTAATTAAGCTATTCCTAAATATATTAAATATTATAAGGACATATAGAACGGTAATAAGATCGTAAAAAACATAAGGGAGTAAAAATTAAATGTAAGTAAAAGGTAGAAAAGGTATAAATACTCTGTAAATTAAAAAAAAAGATTTTTTTTACATATGTATACATAGAAGAAATAAACACTTTAAAGCAAACAATGAAGATGGTCCTGTAATAAGAGGAATCAATAAATTTTGCAACAATACGTCAATGAGGATGAACAAAGAAATAAATTGAGGACAAAATTACGAGACGCGTAAATGATAGAAATGAAGTAAGTAAGTAGTTTAGATTAATAACGGTATACAGTGTAGCAGCAAAAAGTGTAACGTAGATCATGAAAGAAAAAAGTCGCGGATGATCATAAACATACAATTATTTGTCCGGAAACTGAAAATGGAACTACATGGAGAGCTCTTATGTAACATACCTATCACAAACCTCAGCAATGGGAATACTACAAAGAAGATTAGGTTCTTACTTTTAATTAGTAATAAAATTTTCACAACATCTTCATATTTTTCTTTACCTGTCGTATATGCATATTTGCCGGAGAGTAGGGCGGCGCGAGAAGGCGTGCATATGCAATTACTGTAGTACCTCCCCAATGTGACACCATGGTAACCCAGCGAGTCAATATTGGGCGTCAATACTTGATCACTACCATGCACACTGACGTCATTCCAACCCTGAAACCACTAAACTTTCCTATATCTGTGATATACAGACTCAAATGCTTTATTTGCGTTATTTAATAATTATAATTTATTTCTTTAATTGTGAAGATCAATTATTCAAAATATGTTTATCGCGGTTATTAGTACGAGTATTACATCTATTAAAATTGTCATGAGTTTGAAGGTGTCATTAACGATACAAATTTTTATACTTAGAACATTCATTGGACCTTTAAGTCGCCATTAAAACTTAATGGACGTTTTTGCAACTTGGTGCCACTGAGGTAATTAAATAGTCCCATTTTTCTAACTTACCAAATCATCGGCGACGATTAATACAATATTGCGTTTACTATCTTTCTCTCTTGGACTGACTTTCACGCATACCACAAATGATACTATTAATAAAATAATTAAAACATAAAATGATAGCATTCTGTAAACAAAAACGGTTGCCGATTAATTATTATTATAAAAACGTATTACAATCCTCGTAGAAAAATTACGGTTCTGGGAAAAAAATATTTAGTTCTGTTTTCAAAATACTGAACTTTTAAAATAGCTATATAATATAGCTGTAACCTACAGTAATCCTAAATGCCGCAGCTGACGATTTTAAAAGCAGCGTAATAAAGTGTCTGCTTACGAAAGAGGTTAGAAAATCTTACACAATTTCACACTCTGTCTTAATCGTGTGGAAATATGTAATGCCTTACCAAAAAAACTGGTTTTAGAAAACTAACTAACCGAGGGGATGTTATTAAAACAATTTGAAAAAGATATTTTGGGAGAGTTACAAAAAAAAGCCGGCCAACTTTGAATTGGACTTGTGCACGACGGGTACTGCAAAACATCACATTGATTGTCCCCCTTAAATATTTATTTTTATTTGTTTTAAAGCGGCAACAGAAATTCATCATCTATGAAAATTGTCTCACTATTACGATAGATAGTCTGATGACAGACGGCCGGACGGAGTGGGAAGTCTTTATAATGGGTCCCGTTCCCGGGTCCCGTTTTTATCCTTTGGGTACGGAATCCAATCGTGATCGTGCCTACGACAAAATTAGTGAGCTACAATTCTAGTGTCGTTAAATTCTTACTTGGCACCTTTTAATTTTACTAATAATTACCTTTTAATTTAATTAGGATATACTTTTAGAAAAGAAACTAATTACTGAATATTGTTAAATAAGCTTATATAAACATTTCAAAAACAATACACAATTGTATACACTGAACACATTTGCTATATCATGTTAATTATACGGTTTAATTAATTACTACTTAGCGTTTTCACTAACAACGAATTAATACATAATGTTTAGCAGCGTGACTAACGAGATACTGATGAGTTCGATGCTTTTAAATGGCACCATCAATGTTACACTGGGACACAGACTAGATAATGTTACGTTAACATTTATATGTTACGACTTTGCTTACGTATGATTTATGTCTTAAAAAACATTATTGCAAAGAATAACATTGTTACGACCTTCGGAAAATTCTGATCGATTTGTATTTTCTCACTTTACAAATATTATTTAAGTAATAGATTTATATAATCGATTACTTATTCATAGGGAATAAAGGAATTACCAAATGTAGAATATGATTAATATAATATAATTATGAAATATAATTCCTTCATAAATTGTTCCTAATAGTTTGGTAATTTGTAATTTTTAGCAAGTTCGCTTGGATTATTTGAAAGTCAATTTATTTTTTTAAGAACAATCGCAGGGGAAATTTCAATATTCCATATCAGAGATGTTCCATAAAAAAATTAATACCGAATACAATACTAGTGTTGTTAAATACTCATTGAGAAATCACTTTTAGATATTTTTTACACGACTGCTTAAATAAGGAATGTATCGTGTTTAGGGTTAATGTATGTATGTAAACGAGTTTTTTATTAGGCTATAACTTTCGAATGAATTAATAAATATAAATGTTATGTCATCCTGAGTGACACTATATATTCGTATATTTTTCTAAAATATTCAATATGGCGGATGTATGATTTTTAATTTAATTATAGCAATATGGATGTCATATTAAAGATCCTGATAAGTGCATCAAAAATATAAATTTGTGTGCATAATTAAGTCTAAAACGAATAAAATAAATATTTTAAAACTAAAACACGACTTTATTCACTTTTAAACTAACGCGCTGCATTATTAAATACTTATTATAACGTGTATTAAACGTCGGCGCAGGTCATTGTAAAAATCGCGTCTAATATCCGTTATTATAAGTATAAAAAATGACTGCCAAACTTGAACTAAAAAGAAACAAGTTGTTTGGACTACCGTACTGCAACAGGGATTCTGTTTAGCAAAGCTCACTTGTCTGTTTTATTATTAGTTCGATTTTGACAGACGCGCATTTTATTTGTTTTGTTTGTTTTTAAGAAAAAAAGATTTCTTGATATACCTTTTAGGGTGGCGAGTCTGGTATCGAGAAATGAATTACTAAATGTTATACACATTTATATGAACTTCTCAAAAACAATTAGTATACAATTGTATACACTGAACACATTTACTTAATCATATTAATACGGTTTACTTAATTATTACTTAGGGTTTTCACCAACAACGATATAATGCATAATTCACCGTGAATAAGAAGAAACTGATAAGTGCATTTAGCATCATCAATGTTATATACCGACACAGATTAGATAATGATACATCAACATTTATATGTTACGACTTTGCTTACTTATGACTTATTTCGTACTAAAACATAATCAGATATTTGCAAAGAAAAATATTGTAACCTCGAACTTCGTGGTAGAGAGGTCATTTCGGTGGACCGGATTTCTTTTTCCGGTCGGATAAATATATAAAATTTTCATATCTAGAATTGTCATTGTTTCATATTTCCATAAGAGGTTTACTTCAATATTATATTTGATAAATTTTTATTGATATATCACAATGCATATTGATATATTTTAAGACAAAATGGATAAAAAACATGTGGATGACCGATATAGCATTCATTGATTCGAACGAATCTTTATGCTATCTAAACGACCGTATGATATTAGTCATATCTCCATCCCTACTCTTTTTTCGAGTTTCTCAAATCTCTTGAGGGTTCCTCAAGTCTTTTGTGTTCATCAGACTATGCATCCAGTCACAAATAGCCTATGTCTATCTATTTGGTTTTGTGATATAGCACATGTCGCGTGGCGCCACGAATTTACTTTATGGTTTTCATACATTCCACATACTCTACACACCTACTAATTCCTCGGTGGTGGATGTTATAAAACTATAGGCAATAGATTAACCCTAAAGAATGTTATTCTTGTCCTGTAAGCTTGATTGGTGGTTGAAATAATCTTCCTCGTGTTGTTTCTAAATAAAAGGTAATATCCCAAGACCTATCAACAAAGACCTCTGCGAAAATCTATATAAAAATGTAAAGTACAAATTGAAATTAGTCTTGAATTCTTTTTATGCTTTATATGTGCGCAAAAAAAGATTTATCGTTATTATTAGCTCGACACACAGATAAGGGCTAATATAACCAATCTACTTTAATAAAAAAAAAATACAAATCTACCAGCCCCGGGTACTCCAAGATATACATATGATATAGATGATGTATGTACCTAATCTCAAATGAAATATATGAAACCGATAGCATGGTGAGCTGTATGTAACCACGGCTTAAGTCAGATCTCTTTCTAAGACAATTATTACTACTACTCTGACTTTATCGGTTCCTATCTTAATACATACAAATACCTAAAAATATTATCAACGCCTGTCACTCTTGAACGCAATATTTATCGCTTTTTTTATATGCAATATACACTTCTGAGATAATATATAAGAGACATTTTATTTAATATAAGTTTATAATTGCAGACCCTGATTACAAATGTTTCAAGAATCCGTTATTAAAAACTAAAATTAGTTCCGGAACATTATGATATGTTAACAGAAATAATAAACTTATATCCTATTGTAATAAAGCCATATACGTTAACACTTTTACAATAAAAGAAAAAATATAATAATAATTACGTTGTTGGCTAATGGAAAATTTCTCATGGATTTGTATTTTCTCATTTGACTAATATTATTTGAGTGGCAGATGTTTCTTTCTTAATTTATTTATAGAAACAGATTTTGTACTATACTGGCTATAATCCGCGGCTTCGACCATGTGGTCCGAGGGTACTGTGTACACACTTGCCTGCTATACTGGAGTATTAAGTGTTTAAAACAGCCGGTCGCTTTGCTTGTGCAAGATGTGCCGGTTGATCGTTCCTCTTCAGGGAGTCAGCTGTATTTCCAATCTGATGAGCCGAGCCCCCGGAGGTTAACGGCTAACATCTCGATGTCACAATTCATGTAGGTGAATAGAGACGTCTGCGCCCCCCCCCCCCTTGCGCGGGGACGGTCACTCCGGCCGAAAGTTCGTTGCCTCCGGACCTGTTACCAACTGTCCAAGGCGGTGTTTAGTCAGTAGGAGTCTGACATAACCACACAGCCAGCTGTGTGGTATTGGGAGGGTGGTTCCGAACCCCTGTGATTGAGAGTCGAAAAAAGACTATGAAAGTTTAAGCATAACCCACTTATGTAATCGGTGTGAACGTTAGCATCCTGCATTGGGTCATGTACACCAGTCGTGTAAAAACAGTTTGTTAAGAGAAACAAAGGTCGGGTTGACCTAATCTTTATATTTATTGATTAAAAATCATTACAATGAGTTTTTGTATTTAAATTCATCCACTACACCACTTAATCTTTTTTCAGTTTTAATCCTACTAATTAAATTCGGTATTTAATTAAAGAACTAGCCACTCAACTTGCCAGCTGATTAAATTTGGTTTTATTAAGGTTGTATTTTCTGAGTTATGAGTAAGAAGGGCGTAACGTGACGCGTTGTTTGCGGTCACGTGACAACAAGCATAAATATTTGTTTTTTCATAATTAGATTAATCAATATCATGAATATAATAAGCATACAAGTGTGATTATCGGTAATAATAAGTACAGACTACGAGAAAAAAAAGTATTTATTTTCGTTTACATCTACACCCGTATTTTTGTCACCCGCTTAAAAATTCCCCATTAAAAATATTGGAAAAATCGCAAAATCGAAAACGGAAGCTACTTTGTTTTATAAAATTCGAAACAAAAACAAACAACAAAAATCAAAAACCCGTTTTAAAAGTACAACAGTCATCACTAGATGACTGCTGCAGTAGCGTCAACTAAATGTAACATTTAATTTGTTCACTCTATTAAAAACCCCCCATTAAATTATAAAAAACTCAAAATCCCGTTATAAAAGATCTGTAATGTCATCTAATGATCAGTAGCGTCAACTAAATGTTACATTTTTATGTACATATCCAACATCAGCATTTAATATTGTACCGATTTGAATTATTTAATAATGCATTTGGAAAAAGATGACATGGAATATGATTATAATGACCAATTGAAGAGTAAACAATGGTTTCCATGGTAACGATTTAATGCCCTATACGAACTTCCACTCCCATTTTTAACCCATTATTTGTTTTTTTTTCGGGATTAGATATAGGATATGTTGTTGTGGCCTTTTTTAGAATTTTTAAGGGGATCAATTTTGTAATGATAACTTCCACCATTTACGCAGCGCACGAAGGAAAACTATAAAAAGTAAAATATTCTCCCGATTTGGCAATATTTTTCATTGTTGCACCATTCCTATAAGTCATAGCGTGGTGTTATAGAGCCTATAGCTCTCCTCGATAAATGGACTATTCAACACAAGAAAAAATGTTTCAATTCGTTGTTGAAGTTCCTGAGATTATAGAGACCAAACAAACAAGCAAACTCTTCAGCTTTATTATTAGTATAGATTTGTACTTGAATAGTATCAAAAAAGTTTATTTAAAATGTTATTTTGATACCAATCTAGTGCTCTAATACCAATTTTTTTCACAATATAAGAAAACCTTTATAAATTATATTAGACAGATTTATTAAAATGATAAATCATATTGTAAACAATGGTTGTAATGGTAACATTTGGATTATCCATGGAAATTTTCACTCCCGTTTTCACCCCTTTAAGTGCTAATTTTCAGGACGAAATATAATCAATTGCCTTCCTAGAGCCTTGAACTACCCAAATACCAATTTTCATCGATATAAGTAAAAAAGAAAGAGGTTTCATAGAAACATTTTGATCCTTTTTGACTCCTTCGGGTGAAATTTTCAAAAATCTGTTCATAGTACACCTCTATGTAATAAAAGGAATGTACCCTCCAAATTTCAAGTCTCTATGTCCATTGGTTAAAGCTGTGTGTTGTTTGACGGTCAGTACATCAGATCATCTTCTTTTATATATGTATAGAGTTTATACAATGTGTCTCATATATATCCAAAATGTCAAAAATTGTAAAGAACAAGATGTCTTTAATAACAATATTTTTTTAATTAGATATACAATAATAAATATTAAACAATATCACATACATTGCTCAGATTCCAAGATGAGTAGCTAAAGCTCCCGTATTGTGGAGTATCTGAGACAACGAAGATAACACCCAGACCCGAGAGAATATAGATCATTTTCTACATTGACCCGACCGGGAATCGATACCGGGATCTCAAAGATGGCGACACCTTGAAACCGGCGTGCGAACCACTCGGCTAAAGAGAATAGATGGTAAATTTGCAACCAGTAAACAGTTCCCCAGTTTAGCATGGTTTATAAAAATATTTATAAAGATTTACCTGATATATATATTTTTTGCCTTAATTACTGTTTGTTTTTTTTTTAATTGTTCGTTAAAAATAAATATTTACAAAATATTAAATCTACTTATCTAAGCTGTCAAAAAAAATACTATATAAAAAATATCCCCCAAATCATTACCACAAGTAAGGTGCACAGCAGAAGCCTGAATAGCTAAACTAATTTTTTGGGCTAGTGAAAAAACCAGTCATCTACCTGATCACCAGACCTGACAAAAAATAATATAAACGATAGGCTCCCGTGCCACAATGACTCATAATACATTCATTTTAATATGGTTAATGAAAATATTAAAAGTAAACTAACTATAGGTATATTAAACATCATTATGTCATCAACCGCCGGGTACAACAGGTATATAAAGAAAACAGGGAAGGGATAAGACCAAACTAAATCAACTATTAATAAGCAATCCAATTATAAGTTATAAATTGTAAGTACAGTAAGTAGTTTTTTAACTTAATTTGAAGTGATTAAATAATTTACTTACACACAAATAAGAATTAAGAGCTAAGTTCTCATAATTAATCCCCAGATTTTGGTAAGCTTTGTAAACTATCGTAAATACGTGGTCACATAGAAGTGATTTTGTCATCAGTCATCAGTCTGGTCCAATACAACATTATTGAAATGATAGGAGAAAGTACTTACTAGGTTCCCTATTGATGCGATTTTGATTCTGTTCTATGTGTAGACTTCGAAAAATTTGTTTAAGTCTGATTATAGAAATTCACAGTCTGAAATTGGGTGAATGCGCATATATTTATTTTTTGTCATTGGCATACGTTATGTGGCAAGCGTTACTGAAACAAGTTGCAAAAAATATAAGCATTGCAGTGGAGAGGACCGAGATGTGAACCCTTGGGGACGCGAGAGTATACATCAAAGTAATCTGAT